AGAAAGGGAAGGGGAGGGAAGAGGAGGGGCAAGAGGAGGGAAGAGAGGACAAGGACCACGACGAAGCGACAAGGGCGGACGCAACACGTGAGGGTCAACTGCGCAAGCGTTCAGTCTCGGAAGCCCGTGCGGGTGCGCTGGATCGGCGCTCGGCACCCCTCCGTAGGATTAGGTCGGGCCTGTCCCCCTACAGGCGGATTGTGGGCGAAACATTAAAAGTAGTAACAAAGATTCAAACATCATCAAACATTGTCAAAACATCGTCCCCAGACTATTTCCTGATTATGTTACAACTATTCCTCCTGTCAAGAGACAGGCCTGACACTACCTTGGGACGGAAAGTCGGGATCAACCGTGGTACGATTAGATCAGGATGCGTTGCAGGAGCTCTGGGGTATCTAGCGACCCCCGCTGCTGGAACCCGATCCAGAAAGGGAAATTAATCTAGGACAGATTGGAAAGTTGAATTCCTAATTGGCATGGCGTCGGGGTGTTCGGCGGGCTCCGAAGCGGAGGAAACGACGGGGCTAGATAGCCCAGGGGCGGGCGTTACACTTTTCGGGGCTCGGCAATTTCAGCAGTGGGGGCCTCCTGGGTGGGGTCCGAATCTATGGGGTCAAAGGATCTCGCCGCATCGACGATACATCGGCGACGCATCGCCGATGCATCGGCGATGCATCGGCCATGCACTGGCGACGTCATGTCGGCGATGCATGCGCGACGTCGGCGGCGTGGAGAACATCGGACCCAACATCGAGCCGCATCGCTGATGCATCGCCGATGCGTCGGCGATGCGGCGCGATCCTCCAGCCCCATCTACGACGACCCCATATAGGAAGCCTAGAGGCATTGTTTCGGGCGCCAGAGGGAGGGAGCTTTTCAGCAGTTTCATTTCTCGCGTGGTGAGGTCTGCTTCCACCGCGCCTCGTCGCCCGAGCTTCCCCGCTGCAGCACCTCGGGCGGGCGTCCGAGGGCTTGAACAGGCGCGCGGCGCAAGCCTGAATGTTTCGGTAACGTCGGTTCAAAACAAGACGCTTCCGCGCGCCGCGCGAGCCCGATTCAACTGCTGACGTCCACCCATTCCGGCCACGATGACAGTACTGGAAAAGAGATGTGGCCACGCACTGCGGCGCGGAGTGGCGAGTCGTCTGTAGGAGATTGCGGCGTCGGGCTACCTCGGCCAGGGGCGGCGGAGTTTCGCGGCACCTGCACGCTTTCAGCACGCAGGAGAAACCGCGGGAACATCGCAATCGCAGGGCATTTCGCCGACGGGCCACGGGGGCGCTCGTTTTCCCCTGGGCGCACGGTCGGTAGATGTGGCGGAAACCGAATACATGTAGCCCCGACGGAATACAGATAGCCAAGCATGTGTACGTGTTATCGCACAACACTTTAAAACCTCGTGAAATACCAGGAAACCGATGCGCATAAGCGACGCTGAATGCACAGATTCGTCTTTGCGGCGCCCGCGGGTCTCGTGCCACTACGGCACCCCGCTTCACGCGCGGCGCGCCTGTATCGGCGGCGCCGCCCGGGAGGGAGGTGAGAAGGGGCGGGCCCTCTCGGAAACCTAGGAAGTTCCCCAGCCTTCTGAAAAAGTTCCTACCCGGACATGGTCGCGTCGTACAAAAATCAGGACGCGAGGTTTTCTGCCATTTTCGGCATCGGGGGGCCTTCGCCCGGCCTCGGGACCGTCAAAGAACGATTCAGGATGAAAAGAACGATCCTGGGGAAAGGGTCTGGACTTCTGGTGACCTCGTATTGAAAAAATCAGGGACGTCGCATGTCTGGGTAAGCCTTTTCCGAAGACGCAAGAAACTTATCAGGAGGCCGGCTGGCTTCTCAGAACTCCCGCCGCCTTCTGAGCAGGCCTGTTCATTATCATTTCCCCCCCTCGCTCGCCGCCGACTGGACAAAGGTGTCCCCGCGGCCACTCGGGCGTCGGCTTTCCTCCGACACAGCATAACCTGGCAAGATGCCGCGCTGCCCCGCCGCCCCCGAATGCGGTTTCTTGGCCCCGCGCCAACCCCGCAGAACCGGGCACCGCGGTCGCCGCGATGGACGCCCCCATATCCATGCCGCAACGGACATCGCGACCAATCATATCAGTCGTCGTCATCGTCGTCTTCGTCGTCGTCGTCGGCGGCGGCGGCGGCGTCGGCGTCGGCGGCGTCTGCGGCGGCGGCGCCGCCCCTCCGCAACCACTCCCGGCGGCCAGGCCGACCCGCCGCGGGCGGCCGGGCGCCAGCAGGCCGGCCAGCCGAGCTGGGACGACGGGGAGCGGGTGTCACCAGTGTTATGAAGGGGGCCCCAGGGCACACAAATCAATACACACAAACAAAAAGGATTCCCCACAGTTTCCCATATCTTCTGGGTTTGGGTCTTCCCCTCCACACCCCATCTTCTCCCATATTTTCTCGGGAATCGACGATTACTTGTGTCTGTGTGATTTTTTCCCCTCCTGATGTTATCGCGTTCAGCCCGCGCGCCGCAGCATCTAGTCAGCGCCGTCAATGCCACGAAATTCAGTGCGCCACCTTCACGCCGATCCTAGACTTGCGCCGCGCGACCGTGCAAACTCCCGCGCCCGAAACAATGCTGCTATTGCCGGGCCCAGATAAGTGTAACGCCCGCCCCTGGGATGCCCACACATGCGCCACAATGCCCACACCCGCGCCCACGCCGCCCACGCCCACGCCCACGCCCACGCCCGCGCCCACACTCACGCCCACGTTGAGGCAACTTCTGGGAGGACTTCGGCGGAAGGGTTGAGGAGGATTCAGCCCCATTGGGTGGGCTGCTGCGCCGGATGAGGCCGCGAACTCAACGGGATTAGGCTAGTGGAAGCGGGATTAAACCGGACTGAGCGAGGTTCAGCCGGATTTCGGATCAGGGCAAAATCATGACTTGACCTCCCAGGAGTTGCATCCGAAAAACATTGCGCCAATCAAGGGCCCCCTTAAGACGACGAGATATGTTAATTAGAGGCCTCCTAGATGGGGTCGGAGTGGATGGGGTCGGAGGATCGCGCCGCATCGGCGACACATCGGCGATACATCTGCGATGAATCGGATGCAACGGCGATACATCGGCGACGTCGGCGATGCATCGGCGACGTCCGCGTTAAGCAAATCGGGCTCCGCATCGAGCCGCATCGCCGATGCATCGCCGATGCATCGGCGATGCGGCTCGATCCTCCGACCCCATCCACTCTGACTCCATCTAGGAGCCCTAGATTCATATACCCTGAGATATGTGCGTTTGATAGGCCTGTTTTCCATCACCACCACCACCACCATAAGTTGGAGTGGGAAAGGAGGAGGAGGAGGAGGAGGAGGAGGAGCAGGAGGAGGATGAGGAGGACCCCCTCCCCTCCAACTTCTGGTGGTGGAGGGAAACAGGCCCATCGGCGTTGCCATTGTTGCTGCTTCCCCAATGATCGCCCGCTGTTGGGGCCCACCGACGAAGAAGCGGCCCGAGCCGCCGTGTCGTCAGCCATGCCGGCCGAACCCCTGGAAGATCCCGCTCGGCTGTCTGGACGCCCGACACGGATAAGATCTTTTTTTTTTCGTTCTGGGAGCCTCCATGACTACCTACCAGACCACCCCAACCCAACCCGAAGACCCGAATTTCGGGTTGGGGGGTTAAGGGGTCCACATGTGCTTTTTCGATGTTTCCCGACCCCCCCCCCCCCACTGGAAATCGAGGGTAAATTTAGGCCTTCGGGTTGGGTTGGGGTGGTCTGGTGGGTGGTGACTCCAGGGGTCCGAGGGCCTCAGTGAAGGGGCCCTGGGACACACAAATAAATACACACAAATAAAATGATTCCCCATATTTTCCCATATTTTCTGGGTTTTTGTCTTCCCGCCCACTGCCCATATTTTCCCATATTTTCTGGGGAATCGCCGATTAATTGTGTCTGTGTGTTTCTTTCCCTCTTGACTCAGACACAGCAGGAGCGCAGCAGCTCCCTATCGACAGTCCCGTGGCAACCTCACACCCGGCCCGTGAGAGGTCGGGCCCCGAGGCCCTGCCCTGCCGCGGAAGGGCGGGCGCCCGGGGCAGACATGTCCACCGAAGCCGGACGACATGGATACGAACAATGGCGTGAAAAATGCTGTCCAAAACCGACAGCGGCCGATTGGGCAGGCTGGTCCAAGTGAAGGGGCCCTGGGACACACACAAATAAATACACACAAATAAAAGGATCCCCTATATTTTCTCATATTTTCTGGGTTTTTGTCTTCCCCCCCACTTCCCATATTCTCCCATATTTTCTGGGGAATCGAAGATCAATTGTGTCTGTGTGTTTATTCCCCTCCCCAGACATATCCACCAAAGCCGGACGACATGGATACGAAAACTGGCGTGAAAAATGCTGTCCATAGGGGGAAAACAAGCCTACCTCGCTTTTGGCCACCCTCGCTTCCAAGAGATACCAAACGATGCCAAATTGCAGCCTGTGCTGGTCAGGCCGCTCGACGAGGAGGCGCGTGGTACGGTTTGGTTTTGCCTGGAAGCGAAGGCGGGGTAGGTAATTCACGCTCTGAGTCCAAAACCGACAGCGGCCGATTGGGCAGGCTGGTCCAAGACATGTCCCCCAAACGGGTTGGGCAGGCGGCCTTCTGTCTCAAACCGGCAACGCCCGCGGCGACATCGACAGCGAATCCTGCTCAGAAAGGCCAGGAACTGCTGTTGGCCTTCGCACCCGTTCTTACCGCCGGCGAGCCCGGGGGGGATGTCAGAAGCGGCGGGCCTTCTCAGAAGGCTCAGCAATCCCCCGGCCCTCTGTAGCATTTGCGCCTTCCCCGAAGACACGGAACACTTCTCAGAAGGCCGGAGGGCCTCTGAGAAGCCCCGCTGCCTTCTGGGAAGGCCTCCTCCTTCTCACTTCCCCCACCCCCATGGGGCTCGCGGCCTGTAATCTTGGAAGCTTCTAGGGCCACCGGGGGCTGAAGCAAGTCTGGAAAGGGGAAGCCGCCCAAAGGATTGCAAGAGTGCTTAGGAATCCATGGTTTCTGGCCGTCCTCGGGCCCTGCAGCATGCGTCTTGCTCATCCAAGTGTTGTTCACGGTGTGCGTGATTTCTCCACAGCGTCGCAAGAACCGACCGACATGCAAATTGTCAAACTCGGCTCTCTAACGTGCAGGCTACAGCGACGCCCATAGACAGTTACATACCACATGATGACTCCAACATGTGGACCTACATACCCAGACATGCGACGTCCTCATTTTTGCCGGACGGCGTCCCTGGAAATCCCGACCCTTTCCCCCGGACCGGTTTTTCATCCTGAGTCGTTTTTGACGGTCCTGAAGCCCGGCGAGGGCCCCCCGAGGCCGAAATTGGCCAGAAACCACCCGTCCTGATTCTTTTACGACGCCATCATGTCTGGGCAGCGACACCAACTATCGCCGCCTGAACGGCGATGCCCACGACGAAGTCCGTAGGGCATGGCATCCGATGTTGAGCAGGGACCAACCGTCCTTGCATTTCTATACCACGAAATTCTCTTAGAACCCGAACATGTCCCAAGATCAACAGCAATGTTCTTAGACCATAAGACCGATGTGTTGAAACAACACAATCCCAGCCAGAAATGTTTCAATTCGTGCAGGCCACAAAAGGTTCTTAGAACATTCTTTGGTAGGCCAATATATTGCACGCCAGGACGCTTCACCACTGCTTGATTGAAGGCCCCCCCTCGCTCGCCGCCGACCCTTTCGACCGCACCGCGCCGCTCTGTCCTGGCGCCCTGCGCCCTGCCGTGGCAGAGAGCCGACGTCCTGATTCTTTCAGGACGGCGTCCCCGCCCAGAGATCCAACGCAATGAAAAAATCAAAACGGTAATTGTTCGCTGTTTGGGGCCTCCCAGGACCGTCAAAAAACGACTCAAGATGAAAAACTGGTCCTGGGAATGGGTGGAGACTTCCGGGGACCCCGCATTGAAAAAGTGGCTACATCGGATCTCTGGGCGGAAGTCCCGACCCTTTCCCTGGGACCGGCTTTTCGCCCCGAGTCGTTTTCTGACGGCCCCGAGGCCCGGTAGAAGGGCCTCCAGAGGCCGAAATGGACCGCACACCTCCTGTCCTGACTTCTGCTCCGACGCGATCCTGTCTGGGGCGCGGCTATCTCCTGGCGCCCTGCGCCCTGCAGCGGCCAGCCGACCGCGCCGCCCTCGCCCCGGCAGCGCCCTGCGCGGGTCCGCGCCGCGGCCGCCCGGCGGGCGCCCTCCGCCGGCCAGCGGCGCTGGAGGCTACGCGGGCGGTCGCAGGGCCAAACGTGCCCCCTGCGCTACGTTGCTCCCATCGTACTGAAGGGCCCACATCCCAGAAATGTGTCTGGGCACCCAGAGAGAGTATCGAAGAAGTGTCGAACGAGTGTCACCTTCCAGGGCCCGACGCGTGAAAACCCTCCGGTTTCGGTACTTTCTTGGTGCTCGGAATTCTGTCTGGTGGTCGAGGCTGCAGTGGGTTGGAACATAAGCCAAACGTACCCCCTGCAATCCTGGCCAGGGCTGGACTAGGGCTGCTTTTTTCGTGTTCATTGCTTGTTCGTTGTCCCTCGTGCTGTCCTCGTTCCGCCTTCGCTGCAGAACAAAGCAAAAACGAAAGCGCTCCATAACATCGCCAAAACACCGCTGAGGTCGAGCCCTGATCCTGGCGTCTCATTTCTTCGAGCAAGGCGCGGTCCTCCCTCTCAGATCGATCCGGCTCGAAGAATGGCGCAAAGGACGGGGTTCTGGGTCTCTGGCCGTGGTTTTTACACACTTTCGCTTTGTTGGCGCCGTCGGACCTCAAGGAACTTGCCAGCCTGGAACATGTCCCTATCCCTATGCTGGGCATCTCCTCATCACGAGGCCAATCTTAAGGATTCCCTCATTTTTGGAGGGCGAATCCCTGAGATTGTCATCGCCTTTTCGCGTGTCAATCTTAGGGATAGGGAGACGTTCGAGGCTGGTAAGGTACGTCGGGGCCTGTGCTGGTTTCCCCAGGAACAGCCGCTGGCCTCGCCGGCCTCGCTCTTCTGCTTCTCGCTGGTCGTGCCCTGGACAGACGAGGTCAGGAGCAACGTGAAGACAGGAGGAGGAGGGGGAGGAGGAGGAGGAGGAGGAGGAGGGGGAGGGGGAGGAGGAGGAGGAGGAGGAGGAGGAGGAGGAGGAGGAGGAGGAGGAGGAGGAGGAGGAGGGGGTGTGGAGGAGGAGGAGGAGGGGGAGGAGGAGATGAGAGGGGGAGGGAGGAGGAGGAGGAGGAGGAGGAGGAGGAGGCTGTTCGAGGCCAGTGAGGAACGCGCCCCCAGGACGTACCCCCAGTGAGGTGTCGCAGCGGCCACGGAGCCACGGCGGGCGCGCCCACACGCAGCCGCTGGGCGCCCCGAGGAGGGCCCCGAGGCCGCCTTTTTAGGATACCCAGAGACCCGACGTCGTGACTTTTTTCGATGCGGGGTCCCCAGAACCCAGACCCCCCCGAGTTATGAAAAAATCGCGACGGGAGGTTTTTCCTAATTTTCGGCCTCCGGGGGCCCTCACCGGGCCTCGGGAGCGTCAAAAAACGACTCAGGATGCAAAGCCGGTCATGGGGAAAGGGTCGGGACCTCTGGAGGGCGACGTAATGAAAAAATCATTACGTCGGGGGTCTGGGGGAGTCCCGACCCATTCCCCAGGACCGGTTCTTCGTCCTGAATCGTTTTTTGACGGTCCCGTGGCCCGGCGAGGGCCCCCAGAGGCCAAAAACTTAGAGAAACCTCCGTTTTGATTTTTACCTAACAGCGAAGACTGATAGGTTTCTAGTGGGGTCAAAAGAGAGCATCATGACTCCTCAGGGGGGTCGGGGCGGGACCCGGCGCGGGACCCGGCGCGGCTGCCGTCGAAGCCCACATCGCCTGGGACATCCTCGCAAAATCGCTCTTGGCGCTGCTAGAACTCCATTCCCGGCGTACATTTTGGATGCCCGGAGCTAACTTTAGGCCACTTCGTGCTCTTCGAATTCCCAGAACTCCATTCCCGGTGTACATTTTGGATGCCCGGAGCCAACTGTAGGCCACTTCGTGGTCTTCGAGTTCCCAGAACTCTATTCCCGGGCCACATTTTGGATGCCCGGAGCCAACTGTAGGCCACTTCGTGCTCTTCGAATTCCCAGAACTCCATTCCCGGGCCACATTTTGAATGCCCGGAGCCAACTGTAGGCCACTTCGTGCTCTTCAAGTTCCCAGAACTCCATTCCTGGACATGATTTTGAATGCCCGGAGCCAACTGTAGGCCACTTCGTGTTCTTCTAGTTCCCAGAACTCCATTCCTGGGCCACATTTTGAATGCTGCAGGCTGATGCTGAGGCAGGCTGATGCTGAGGCAGGCTGAGGCTGAGGCTGAGGCTGCAGGCTGAGGCTGAGGGCTGAGGCTGAGGCCGAGGCTGAAGGCAGACTGAGGCTGAGGCTGAAGCAGGCTGAGGCTGAGGCTGAGGCAGGCTGAGGCTGAGGCAGGCTGAGGCTGAGGCGAGGCTGAGGCTGAGGCTGTGACTGCGACTGCCGTTGCCACTGCGACTGTCATCGCGAATGCGACTACGACTGCGAGAACAGCAGAATTCTACAACTGGATTCTCATCTGAATCTTAAGGGGAATGCTTCCAGATATGCTCCTACACATCGCTGTTAGGTTGCTTTGCCGGGATAATTTCAATATGCCGCCTTTCCAGGATATGCGTCTGCTCTGGGGTACGCTTGGCCTCCCCTGAGCTACGGGCTGTCGAATGGGACGTCGCCCCGAGTGAGGACGTAGTTCGTGCCCGACTGCGCCCGGTGCACCCGCAGCGCGTCGTCCGCGTAGAGGATGTCGATGTAGGTCGGGGGCGCCCTGACGGCGGCGGGGCTCGCGGCGCTCAGCCCGGCGGCCTCGAGCATCTCCGCGCTCGCCGCGGCGTCTGCCCGCGAGGGCACCAGCGTGACGGTCTGGAAATGCACGGCCGCTCGGCCAGGCTCGCCGCCCTCGCTCGGCCCCCACGGGCCGGCCAAGACCATCGCGGCCGTGGCCGCCGGGGAGCCCGGGACTGTAAACTCCTGGTAGAGCTCGTAGACCCCGCCCTCGCTGGCGCTGCCGGTGACGCGGTTCCAGCCGCCGACGATCTGGACCTGCACGTCCGGCAGCGCCATGAAGGAGAGGAACTTCAGGCTCACCGTCGGCGGGGGGTCCCCGGGAGGCGGCCCCCCGCCCCTGCCGGAGCGCGCCGCCATGTCCGAGTAGTCGGCCTTCCAGTCGCCCACCAGCGCCGCCAGCCCGCCCGCGTTCGGCGGCAGCGCCACGCGGGCGGCCTCGATCTCGCCCGCGTCGCGCGAGGCCAGTGCGGCCAGCAGCCGCGCGGCCGCGGCGCTGGCGGCGGGCCCCGCGGCGCGGCGCGCGAGCGCCGCGCCGCGGCCCGCCCGAGCGCCGCGGGCCAGCAGCCGCGCGGCCGAGGCGCGGCGGCGGGCGCCACCGCCGCCGCGCCGGCGAGCGCCGCGCGCGCGCGGTGGGGCCCAGCCAGGCGGCCAGGCAGAGGGCGCCCGGCCAGAGCCGCGCCCCCCCCGCCGCCGCCGCCGCGGGGCCGCGGCGGGGCCCGGGCCTTCTGCGCGGCGCGGGGGGCGACGGGCGGCATCGCCGCGGCGGTCGGGGAAGGCGCGCGCGGGACTCGGGAGTGCAGATGGGGGGGGGGGCGGGGGGGGGCCCTCCTCCTCCCTCCTCATCACCTCCTCCTCCTCCTCCTCTATCTCTCAAGTCCTCCCTCCTCCTTCCTCCTCCTCCTCCTCCTCCTCCTCCTCTCCTCCTCCTCCTCCCTCCTCCTCCTCCTTCTCCTCCTCCTCCTCCTCCTCCTCGTTTTCCTCCTCCTCCTCCTCCTCCTCCTCCTCCTTCTCCTCCTCCTGATCCAACTCCTCCTCCTGCTCGGGGGGGGGGGCGGCAAAGGTGGGGCAGGGCCAGAGGTGGGGCTCGAAGGAAATCGCCCTGGACGGGTCCTGGAGGCTGGAGGAATCAGCCTCCAGCTCGGTTCGCTCCCAAACCTCTTCTGGGGCTGCCTCCCCCCTGCCTACCCTCGACGTGTACACAATCTTGTCCGTCGGCTCGTGAGCGTTCCCATATTCGGCGTTTCGACATGGAGCGAAGAGGGGGGAGGGGGCGGGGTCTGGCTCTGGACCTCTGCTTAGTGCGACCGTCTGCAGCAGTACATTCCATGGGGGGAGACTCCAACCGCTCGAAACAGGCGCCAAGAAACAGCCAAGATCTACTCCATGAGGGAGGGGGAGGGGGCGTTGGGGGGTCCGCGCCGAGCGGCAAACCACGGGATAAAGACACGATCACCTCTCTGACGGTTTCCTACGCGGAAGCCGGACGGCTGCGCTCAGCAACGGGGCCCACGGTCGAACACGTCGGAGGGGGGGCCGCGCGGAGGGTCGATCCCGCAGAGAGAGCGCGCAGAGACGGCCAAGGCACGCCCGGCAACGAGGAGAGGGGGTGCGTTCGGCTGCTTCCAGCCGTGAAGAGGGCGCCCCGCAAATCTTCGAATGTGGGGCGGCCCCGCGTAGCTGACAGCGGGAGACCTCAGACCTCCCAACTCTGGGAGACCGCCGAAGACTGGCCCGTTGCAAGCCCCAGTGGCCTCCAGAGGTCGGGGACCGCATGGAAGCCCGCAGGGGCCAACACCCTCGATCTTCGATCCTGGGTCCTCGAAGATCTCGATCCTCGGTCAAAGCCGTCCACCTTGATTGCCCCCCGCCGGCGTCGACGCCTCCCTCGCGCGGCGCGGGCGGGTGTTGAAGGAGGGCGCAAAAAGGGGGAGAGGACTGTGAGCACTACACCCCTGCTTAGAGTTGAGAGAACTTCAGGCGCCAAGCGTTGTCTTCGACAGCCGTCCAGGTCCAGACGCACGAACATCGTACGAACCACAGAAGCTCCAAGCAAAAGCCCAGGGCCCAGTCCGGATCCTTGACTTCCTCGAAACGAAACCTGGAGGCAATGCACCTGATGTTGCTCCTCACGATCCCTGATGGGTGCAAATTGCCTCCCTGAGAAGCCGGGCTGGAATAAGAGAAGAATCCTCCCGGAGGGGCAGAGAGAGCGAGTGAGGGACCGAGGGCCGAGAGGAACGGCCGCAGCGCATTGCGCTGCGGCCGTTCCTCGAAGGCCCACTGCGGCCGCAGCGCATTGCGCTGCGGCGCCCTCGGGCCCGTCATGCCTTAAAGGCATGACAGGGGGGCCCGGCAGAGCAACCAAACGAGCAGGCCCGACCCGAAGAGCCGCAGGAGGCAGGAAGAACGGAATCCTCTTAAAAACCGTCCTAAAACCTCCCTCAGGAAAGCTTTTTGGAAGGATCCTGTTAAAAATCATCCTAACAACCTTCATCGGGAAAGCGTGTTGGAACAATCCTCATGAAACAAACCTTTGTAGAACCTTCTTCCGGAAAGTTGTTGTTGGGAGAATCGCACTAGATACCTTCCGAAGATCTCCCCATGATGAGCAAGGGTACAAGACCCCACTAACGTGGCAAATCCCTTACCTAATCTGACCCAGGCTCCGTCGACACTGCGCAAAATCTGACCTGACCCATCAACAGGCTAACGTGACCTACGGCTCGGCGACACCAGTGTGTCACGCGCGCGCGGAAAAAGGAAAGGAATAAGGGGAAGGTGACCAGGAGAAGGAACGCGCGGAGAAGCGGGGATGACGAGGAGGACAGGAAGTAGGACGTCATGGGGAAGAATATGACACACAAGGACGAGGTGGAGAAAATGCTGCGGTTGCAGCTGCGATGGGTAACTAATGGGCAACCGACGACGCCTGCGACGCCGACGCATCCGCCGAGGACGCCGTCGTCGTCGACCCCGCCCCCGTCGAAGACCGCGACGGCGACGTCGAGGTCGTCGACGAGGCCCACGCCCACGCCGACGCCGACACCGACGTCGTCGACACCGAGGTCGTCGCCGACGCCGACGTCCACGCCGACGTCAGCGACGTGACCGACGAGGGCGGCGGCCGTCGCCGATGTCGCTGGCGAAAGTCGACTACACGCAAGATTGACCCCAGGCAAGGGTTAGGTCGGGCAGGTCCTCCTACAGGCGGTTTCTGGAAGGAGAATGAAACAGATAGACAAACAGTGCTCCAACACAGTCGAAGAGACAATAGTTCGACCAACCTGGTCGAAGCCCAGACAAAATGATCCCACAATGATCCCACATGGTCCAAACAGAAACAAATCATGCTCAGAAAAAATCGACGATATTATGGAAAAATCGTCTCCAGACAACTACTTTGTTATCTTTGAACACCCCGCCTGTAGAGGGACGAGATAATGGACGAGATAATGGAGAAATAGTCGACGAGATCATGGAGAAATAGTCGATAGTGGACGAGAAATAGTCGACGAGATAAGGGACGAGATAATGGAGAAATAATCGACGAGATAGTGAGGAGGAGGAGGAGGAGGGAGAGGAGGAGGAGGAGGAGGAGGAGGAGGAGGAGGAGGTCGTCTCCAGACCACTTTTTTACTATCTTCGAACATCCCGCATGTAGGGGGACGTGCCCGGCTGCAGGCCGGAGGGACCTCTGGTGCGCGGTTCTGCGGGGCCGCGGGGCGGCCAGGTCCGGCCGCGCGCAGGCCAGGTGCTACGGGGGTACAGTCATCGGCCTGACCTAAGGAATGATAAATAAGGAACGAGGCCCCTGTTTTCCAAGGAAAGAAGCATAAGGAACGATACGTAATAAAAAAACGCATAAGGAAGGATACGTAACGCATGCAAGCCTGAAGGAACGACCGAGCCCCTTTTGAAAAGTAAGTGTTCCTTACTCAAGCCGCTCACTGTAGGTCGGGCGTGTCCTCTTGGACGAAGAGACATAAAAAGTCAAACCATCCCCCAAATAGTAAACCAAGAAAAAATACTAGAAGAATCGTCTCCAGACGATTTTTGTATATAATTTTCTGTAGAGGGGCACGCCCGACTGAATGCTAGGGGGGGCTCTTGTGAGCCCGTGCCAGACAGGCCACTCTGGCGAAAGGTCACTCTTACCCTGGATGGGGCAATTATGTTAGGTCGAGCATGTCCCTCTGCACGAGGAATACGGTGGGGCATTGTTTAAAAACTCTTCGAGCGGGCGCGAGCCCCCGCGTGGTCATGCCACAAATTCTCAGCGGGCCGCAGGCCCGCGCAAACGGCGCGGGACTGCCGAGGGCCCCGCGGCGGCCGAGGGGGCGCTCACCAGCGTCGGCCCCGCCTCCTCGCCGCCCGCGGGACCGCCTCGCCGCGCTCCAGCGCGCGGTCACGCTCCCCGCGCACCTGGGCTGCCTCTCGCCCTCGGGCGCGGGCGCCGTCCGCCGACGCGAAGCCGTGCGCGCGGAGGACGCCCTCCAGGTCGGGCACTGAGAGCTCCTGCAAGCCCGCGCGCACCGCGGGCTGCACCGCCGCCGCGCCCACGGCTGCCGAGGCGCTCGCCGAAGCACCCGCCGCGCCGCCCGCAGGCCCAGCCGCGCCAGCAGCACGCCCCGCCGCAGGCAGTGCAGCCGCAGGCCTTGGCGATCCTCCTGGGCCGCCAGCCCGCGCCGCCGCCAGGAGCTCGCCCACCTGGGGGTTGGGCCAGTCGAGGTCACCCACTTTGAGCGACCTTCGCCAGCGCTGCATCTCCTCCAACGTCGGCGACTTGAGCATCACGATCGGCGGCTTCTCCTTGCCTGGCAATCGCAATCTGCCGAAGTCAGTCCTGGCCTGAGCACGCGACCCTTGGCTCGATCTGTGATCGCCACCGACGCGCGGCTTGGCCAGGCCCCTGTGCGCATACCGCGGCTGGTGGCAGTACATGAAGCAGCGCGTGCACACCAGGATGGCCTCGCTCGGCTTGCTCACCACGTTGGTCTGCATAATGTTGTGGCCGTGCACTACCCATGGCTCTGGTCCAGCCGTGGGGGCAAGTGACGGGCGCTGCTCCTCTAGCTGGGTGTGCTGAGAGGACTCTGCTGCCGACCTGGCCTCCGCCCTGCGCCGAACCTCTCTGGCAAACACCTCGCTCGCTGCCGCAGCACGATGACTGCCCTCCTCGCCTGGCCCCACAGCGATGGGGGCGGCTGGGGCGGATGCGGCCCTCAGCGCAGCCGCTGGGCGCTTTCGAGTAGGCCCAGCTGCGCCGCCCGCGGCGCCTGCCGCTGCGCCTGTGGCCGCTGCGCTGGTCGCTGCCGCCGCGGCGAAGGCTGCCGCTGACACAGCTGCCGAGCCTCTGCCACGCTGCGCCGTGGAGGCGTCCAACAAGTCGTAGTCCTCGTACTCCCACGACAGGTTCCACGGGTAGTGGTACGGCTGGAGGTTGACGTTGTCCAGGGCTTCCGTCGGCCAGCAGTCTCGCA